AAGGAAGCTGATAGCTAAATAGTACATGGTTGGAAGTTAGCAGAACGGTACATTATATATGGCAATAAGTGGGCATGTACTCAACAATCAACCGGTCTGTTAGCTCAGTTGGTTAGAGCGTCGTATGTTGTTCTCATCCACTGTCATAAGAAATACCTATCCACTAACATACCACAGGTACTAATAATGCGAAGGTCATGAGTTCGACCCTCATACAGACCATATTTATCTTTTGTTAATTTTTTAACCAAAATATTATTTTTATTTTATTTTTCATAATTATTTTTAACTTTATTTTTTTTAATAAAAAAAGTTTTAATTTTTAATATTTATTTTTTATAAGTTTTTAATTTTAATTTTAAAATAATATAATAAAAATAACCTAAGGTAATTATATTTACCCCGTTAACATTTAAACCCTGGAAAAATAAAACCAGTATAAAATATAAACTAGTATATAATATGATATTATATTTGTACGTTTAAGACTAGTACGATTTCAAGGTATAGAATAGCACCAGACTAGGACCAGTACGGGGAGATTCCGCTGGGACCGGTACGATAATCAGACCAGTATAGCTGTGGAGTTGGGACCATCCCAACTATAGACCAGTACGGAGGCGACCCAGTCCCGATATCATACCAGTCTTAACCCAAAATACGTACTGATCTTGACAGGATTGGTACTGTTTGAACTCACAGAATGGCACAACGCTGACCAGTACAAGGGGAACCTGGGGACTAACTGGTACGATAATCGAACCAGTTTGGGTTTGAAAACCCGAATACTACTGGAGGCCTAGTACCATTCTGAGCTTCGCACTAGTTCATTGTTCGGATGGGGGTCCGCTTAGTCAGTCATAACTTCCCCGTAGGCATCGCAGCGATTGGGGGGCCGCGATTGGCATGAATTTAAGTATTTTCAAGACTTTAGGACATTCCCGACACAAGCACAGAAACACCGTTTCGGCCTCGTCGCTCGACACGGACAATTCCTTCCCAATCTTATCCCATATCTGCGCTCGGTGCCCGACTCCCTGTTCGTTAGCGGTCTTGTGGGGGTCAGTAAATCTTGTCCAATGGGCATGCCTACCGAATGTAAGCCTGAACAACGCCTTCAGATCCGAGCCGCATTCAGTTCGCCAAACTTTGGTGATGATGCATTATGCAACTCGTTTTGCTTCTTCCTGGGGGCGCATTGCTGATAGTCGTCCAGTCTTCCCCCCTTGCAAGAAGATTAATGAGCTTCTCGTCCTCCTCCGGTCGCCATCTGTTACCTGGCTGTGGTGCAGCACTTCTGTTCGACGCTTGGAGGAAAACGAAAGGCATTACGGTCTGTAATCGAAAAGAGGGTTTATTGGTCGAAAAAAATAGTCAAGATGAGATATCATGTTGTATGTTGTTTTTCTATTCCTATATTTATTTTATCTGCTGACTTCGAGTGTGGCGAATGCTACCTTAGTACGTTACTGTAGGCTGATTCCGTACCCAGATCTAATTTTGGACCGCGGGCCGTTTCCGTACATCAAGTCTCGAAATGCCGGTAGACGCCTCTGATCTTGGGGTCGAGGCCGAATATATAATACTACAAGAATATTTATACAGAAAACCTGCTATCTTTCCCCAAGACGTGATGCTAAGACTTCCTTGCACCACAATCACTTTAACCCACCTTTTTTTTTATCCCAACGCGAAGAAGATATGCTGGCTATTTTTCCCGCTCTCTTGATTGCTGGCGTGGCAGGTTTAAACATTGCTTTTACGGGATCTGCTGGCATCGGCCTCGAGATCGGAACAATCACGAACACTGACACGGCCGTTAAAAAAAAAATTTCTTGGTTTACAAGGCCAAGAGAAGCAGCGTAAAAAGAAAGTTTGTGGTCTGTATGAGGGTCGAACTCATGACCTTCGCATTATTAGTACCTGTGGCATGTTAGTCTTCAATGTCAATTCAGCAAAGGAATGTCGAGGGCAACGTACGACGCTCTAACCAACTGAGCTAACAGACCGAGTAGTTGTTGGAGATCAGAAGCTCTTATCGGAGTCCTTGACAATACAGTAGTACCCGGCCATGCCCGTATCATACGGGTCCACAGGCTTGTACCTCTAAACCGATTCGGTCCGCATGCTTCACTTTCTCTCGTCATCATCACTTTCAACACAGCTTATTTGCATATCACCCCTTAGTTTCCCCTACCACAAGACAAGTCAAAGACGCGACACCAGTAATCAGACGTTCTTGAGTACATCCAGTACTGCGACAGAGCTTTTGAGGATGCGCATGTGCCAATTAATTAACCCTACACACGATCGTCTGTCACGAAATACTGAGAATACTTAAATCATCCAGGCTTCGGATTGTTTTGATGCTATGCTCAAGCATCGCCTTGTTAAAATGAGCACATTGAATCCTACCCAGTATTCGACACCCGATGTCAACATGCCTGCCGATATTGAATACGACCGGCATCAAACTATCGCAACACTTCTCCCAGGCGAAGCTATTGCTCGGTGTTTTGCGGAGGCAGCCGCCACCCAATTGGGACAGCATGAACTTACTTGCCTTGCTTGTTGAATTCTTTGATAACCGGGATCGCCTAGTCATTACCGAGAAGGAGGATTCGCTTCCATTCTGGCTAATAAACTTGAAGCCTTCTATGCCGCAGAGACAAGCCTTTCGAACTAAGATCGTATACGCTTCACTATAGCTTCAGGACGTGAGAATTCGGATCTCAGACTGATTCTCCATGTTGCAAGCCATGATAGGCAGCATGTTGCATTTTGGGACCCCAAATCGCCTACCATCCAGCTTCTTCATGGTAAAGGCTTGGACGATGAAGCACTCTTTGGTTACGATTGGCATTGGCGTGCCGAATGCTCAGATGATCGCCGCAAACCACAATGTACGACAACGCGCTGGTCGAAAGAACTGAAAAGATTTCATGATGAATTCTCTGCAGATGTTGCCAAAATCCTGCCGCTGCCGTTTCTTATTGTTGCGGGTGTTTGTCCAGCCAATTCCTACACCAAATTCCTCGACAAATCGGCCAAGTTTGTAGAAGTTATCATCAGTCCGCCTGATGGGAAAATCAAATTTTGCCTGGAATTCGATACGGAAGGTCAATGTCTGAAAAGAATCACACTCATCATTGATCATCCAGCAACTATATTTTATGCGAAACCGGCACTCATCCGCGAGATCACTATGCGCCTCGACGCTGGGCTCAACGCGTGATTCTCTGGTTACTCGGCAAGAAGTACACAGTTGACTACTTTCTCAGAAAAGGATCCATCTGCCACTATACTCGCTGGACACCTAATGGCTTTGAGCATGGCCTGAAGGGAGCACCACTAGCAGAATTGCATGCTTATAGGAAACAAGAAACGAACTAGGGGAAGCACTTGAAAATTAGCTGCTATTTTGCTCCGTTCCTCGAGTGGGCGGCAAGGTATTTAGGGGAGGATCCGAATTCGATTCTACAACGAGGCTTATCGCTTGCCAACGCTATACAAGACAAGATCAGTGCTAAAATTAGTCATAAAAGCCGGATTCGGACACAAAAATTGGCTGGTCGTTGCCTCAATGATCACGATTCTGGGTCTACTGAAGCACCAAGTAGTGCTCCCATCTCTGATCAAAGCAGACAACAATCCAGCCAACGCCAGGCGACAGAGAACTCGGAATCAGTGACGTCAAGCTCATTCTCCCCCGAAGAAATAATGCAAGCACTTCAATGGCTGACGCAAACGATTGAAAAGGGGAAAGAGTATGCAGATTGGAGCAGTCCCTTTGCACAATTGTCCCCCCATCAACTGTTGTCGATGGAACGTGAGATGGCCGTTGCAGAAGCACTTTTCACCCTACGACTTCAAAATATTAACGAGGCTCTTGATGAAAACGAGCGGGATAAAAAGATATCAAACATGGAGAACGCTCTCCGGGTCAAGCTCCATAGTGTTCGCAAGAAATACGGGGTGGTGATCAAACCAAGACGCCGCAAACATGCAACTGCATCGACAGACCCAGCGAAATTGATGAACCCCACGACTCTCCAAACTGTCTACGCGAGCCATCATTCAAGCGCTCTCAGTGACGGCAATTCGCCGACGCCTGGGAACGTAGTCCCTCGAGCAAGGCGTAAGCTGCAAGACTGGCGCGAAACGCTGCTCCAGGGTGAAATATTTCAGATTAGCGGCGCACGATGAGATCGAATGCGTATCCACCTGCCATTCAAGTTGGATGCGAAAATACCTGCGGCAGCTGACCCGCTTGCGGTTTTCCTTCAGTGTCACCTGGTTCAGGACGGAAGTCAGCACACGAACTATTTTGCCACGGATGCTCTGTTTGGTGACCCCGCCCGGCGACTCGGCATTCAGATACGGTACCAAGAGCTCGAGACAAGCTTGCGTGAGACTCAGACGGAATGAGTCACTGCTACAGGACTTGTGAACGCGCAGAAGACTGATCTATTAGTTGGACTCCTCGAGCACCGAAGCGAAATTGATACCGACGACAAGCTGCGTCCGGGCAGTGCCCTTGAGGATGATAAGCAGACCGTTACCTCTTGCCCAAAGCCGAGGCACGAAAGAAAGCCTAATTCGTCCGAAGGAACTGGGAATGAGAACAGTGTTTTTAAGATCGGATATAAATACCTTGAAGGTACGGCAACTGGTTCGATGCCTATTTAATCGAAGGATCTAACAACAAGAAAAGGTCGCCACCTTAAGAGCACGTAGACGAATCACGGCGGTAAATAAAGCATAGGTATGCTGAAAACAAATCCTGTTCTTAACCACTTAATAATAGGTTGCTAACATTAAGCGGACTAAGCGTGCTCGGTGTCCCTTTTTTGCATATATTTAAAAGATATTAAATGGTGATAATTATATAATAATATTAATTTTATGTTTATTATTATATAACGGTTAAAGTAAAACAAAAAAATAATTTTAAAAAAATAAACTTTAAAAAAAAAGCAAAAATTTAAAAAGAGAGTTTATGGTCTGTATGAGGGTCGAACTCATGACCTTCGCATTATTAGTACGACGCTCTAACCAACTGAGCTAACAGACCGGTTGGTTGTTAGTAAGTGCGAGATTAATTTGCTCTTATCAAGCTTTGCCATTTCCGCGATCGGCGCTATTGTTTAGATGAGTCAGCAGACCAATCATGGGCATATATGGTCACCAGTCACGCTGTTGGGATGGATGCTCGGAAACCGTTTTATTTAGCAAAGTCTGTGTCGGTTTATGCTTGTCATTTCACATTCTTCGAGGTTCTCCTAGTCCCATGGCAAGATAGATGCAGATGGTCCATCTTTTGCACATTAAGCCTTCTTTCTGCCGATTGATGATTCTAAAGCAACAAGTTCGTCTGAAAACCATCATGCTAATAAAGACGCGCCACTTGTCCGATAAAGTCTAAAAAATCTCGAGTTTGAATTCTGCAACAATGTTTGTGGTGCATCAAACTCCATCAAATGGCCATCTTCGAGTAAAGCGACCTTATCGTAACGGATAATATGCGTCAGGCGATGCATCACTGCGATGACAGTGCTGTCTTTAAATTCCGAATCGATGACATCTTGCATGATAGCCTCCGTCTCGGTGTCGACACTGTTTGGTTTCAGGTCAGTAGCTGCGATTAAATGCTTGAAATGATAAACCTTACCTGCTCGTTGCTTCGTCGAGTATCAAGATCCTGCTATTCCTTACCATCGCTCTCGCAAGACAGAGCAGCTGCAGGTGTGAGCGGCTCTGGGGAGACTTCTTCGGCTCAAGACATTGAGATGAACGATTATCGTCCCGCAGTTCGTACCGATTATCGTCCTGTAGTTCGCACTCGACCCAAACCTAAGCGTAAACGGCACGCACGCGGCATTATTTATCAACGGAAGCAGAAGGCGAGAGATAAGACCAACGCCTCAAGGTCTCCAGCAAAGAGGAGTTCGGCTTTGACAACTTTCATCCCGGATCCTCCGAGTGTTGACCCTACCAATACTAGCCAGCTCATGTTGCTGGCGAACAGTGCTCAAACGATGGCAATACTGCTGCGACAAGATGGGCAATGTATAGATGTCGGGGAATTCCGGCGTGATGCCATCATTGAAGCTATAGCACAGGTTCGACGTAGCAATATAGATCGAGAATGGTTTTTGTACAACAAAGATGGTCGTGGCATTGCTTCAGAGGATTGCCCTACCCACGAAGATGACTTTATCTGTCTGGATACAGATTCAAGCGGCTTCCCAGCAGTGTACATCTTGTCATTGTAATATAAGAATTCACCCAGTTTGTTGGCGAGTTAAATTATAGCGCGGAGACTGTGCTAATATATTCAACAATGATTTTTCTGCCAGCATCGACTGTGTGCGCGATATGTGGCTTGTGATGAATGATATATGTATTTCCTCGATATACCTGATGTAAAAGGCACGAACTCTCTGCCCGGACAGGTCCAATGAATAAAGGAGTCTTGCACTTAATGAGGTATGAACTGAGGCCAACCCTAGGTACATGTAGGTAGACACCGAGAAAGCCGATTCACGGTGATGCGGAGAGAGAAACGGAGGCGAGGGCCGATTGCTGACCGTTCTATTTGCATAAGATGCATGCACAAAATCCGGTACTTTGAAAAGCGGTAAAACCTCAGGCTAGTACCTACAGGCAGCTGTATCCACTGGGCAACTAAAAACCTCGAGGCCCTGTATACACAGTTTCTCCAGACATGACCGGAGTAAATCATTGTGTAAAAACATGATATCTGTTCCTCAATACTACATGTAGGTACACATGCAAACGCTGTAAACGATCAGATATCATTTGAAATGTGACAGCTAAAATCGCTATGCAAGCTTCAATTCTAGGCGTAATGATTATCCAACTATGATTCCAAGGTGATTTGCAAAAACCTGCAATTTTTGCAATTACGCCGATTTCCCGTTCGTAAACTTTTTGCCGATTCCGACGACCCCGGCCGATACCCGAGCCTTTGTTGTATTGAAGAGTCTATCCGGGAGGTCTATGAGGAGTATTTGGATGACCAGGATGACGATTCTGATGAACCAATCCAATATGCTCATCTCAGGCTGCCTCCCGTAGCGAGAGGTCGAGTCCACAAATTCGAAGGGCAGACGTGCGCCGAGATGTGACATGGCGACGTGCAGTCCACTGCTGAAACCATCTTCGTGGAAGCCGTGTCTCGTCCATGCGCCGGCATAGCTTATGCCCCGTTTATTCTGGATCCTCGGAAGCTGCTCCAGCGCCTGCACGGCCGCTGGTGTGTATAAAGGATGTGAATACGAAAACCGCCCCTGCACCGTTTCTGCTCTTGGTTCGTGAATGGGGTTCAGAGTGAGTAATACGTCGCCAAAGGCTTTGCGGGGTATATGTTGTATGCTATTCATGTTGTAAGTGAGGCAGACCTGGTCGACGTCTCTCCCCGTCCATGGCGACGATGTCGTGAGGTAGTTCCCTGATGACCACGCGTTCCGCCGCTTAGGCATGAGCGACGTATCGGAGTGGAGGACACACGTGTTCTCCGACGTCCGAAAGTTGGACAGGATGGCTTTCTCCTCCTCGGTCGCTGAAGGCGCGATGATCTGAAAGGCCTGGTCTCCGTGTGTGGCGAGGATCACATGGTCGTACACTTCCGTTTTGCCGTTTTCTAGGTGCAGTCGTACTCGGCCGGTTCCATCGTTAGATATATGCTTCACTGCAGTCTTGAAAAAGAGATGGTTTGGAGGGAAACCCCTCATGACGGCGTCCACGTATGACTTGGCGCCGTTTTCTAACGTCAGCCAGTCTGGTCCTTTCGAGACTGTACTCAGGAGGCGGTGGTTCCACCTATATCCAGACGTCAGCGCCGAGGTTTCGAATAGTACAGTTATACAACTTACATAGACCTGACTAAAGTGACGATGGGAAATTCCATGGCACTCGTGTGTGGACTCATAGTCCATAATGAGGCCGCGATGGGGATAAGGTAGTCGTTCCGAAACGTATCGGAATAGCCCTGTCTTTCCAGGTAATGACCAGTCGTCTCTAGGCTAGTCGGGGATAGATGAGACTGCTTTGAGCCGGGTCCTGGATCTCGCAGCAGGTCCAATGCGAATTTATTGAACCGTATGATGTCGAAGATTAACCTCCACATCCTCGGCGATAATAAATTTCGTCTTTGGCAGAAGACGGCATCCAAGCCGTTGCTTGCCCACTCGAACCTGCCCTTATCCCGTGAGAACCCAAAAGTCATCTGCGTTGGCACGGTCGGTACATTGAGCTTCTTTAGAAAATTTACAAAGTTGGCTTGAAAAAAAAACAGGTTAGTCGGGGTACGGTGGCTAAGCGGCTGTAGCTCACTGACGATATGTTGCTGTGTTTAAGACGATGAAACCGGCATCGACCAAGGTCCTGAATTTTGCCTTCTTCCACTCGACGGTGTTGGTGTGGCCGCCCAGCCGATCGGCGGCCTCGTACAAGTAGACATCGTGGTGTGTCCGGTTCAATGCCCACAGAGCACCGATTCCTGCGGAGCCACTGCCGACGATGGCAACTTTTTTCCTAGATACCAGATTAATAGGTAATGTCATTGATGTTTGGATAGTGTATATATTGAGAAGAATATGGGAGAAATGTCGGGAGCGATCAATTTGGGAGCTTCTGACAAAAGTTATTTATATAAAAGAGGATAAGAGTTTGAGGTGCTGGGGATATCAAAAGGCTGGTATGTTTAGTCTCACAACTTTTGGAAGCTTGCGGCTGCTTGGTGGAGAGATGCTAGGTGGGAGGATGACGTTTGCGTATAGGTATAAATTGAACGCGACCAAGCGACCTGGCTAGCTACCCGCCACGCCGCATATGCCAGCAACAACAACTCATGGTACAGATGGGGTTCTCTGGATACAAGTGGCGCCTCTTTGGTGCAATCAACAGCGCAGTGCGAATCTTGTCGCAAGAGCTACTGCAGCTCGTGCCCACCACGCTCTCGACACATGGGCGGTAGCGGGCGCGTGCAAATACGATTCTGGTTGCTGTGCTGCGCGTGTAGAGGTACTTACATGTGACGGTCCCGCTGGTTGCCTCTCATGGTACAGCGACAGGGTGTTAACTGGGTTAGCTCACCGTCTAGTTCAAATAAACGATAAAGATATCGATATTAATGGTAGCGCGACGAGACGGACACCGATCTTTTAAAGAAAAGGGGTTCATTGAACCAAAGTAGAAATGAGACAATTTGAGTCGAGACGACGAGAGGGAGCGTACCAATTCTAGTGTAGATCGGTTCCATATCGCCGAGCATCACTTACCTACATATACGCACGTACATGGGCGTAAACTAGTTCGTCCCGAAGCTGACAGGAATACGCCGACGCTATCCTCTTTTGCCCTCTTGTCTACCCGAAAGGAGGAGCAATGTTTCAATATTCATCATACTGTACATCGTGTACATTTGTTTGATCAGTGATATTCTCGATAGCTATCACACCGCTCCGAGGTTTCGAACTCGTAGGTATTGATACTGCCCCGGCAGAAGAGGACCGACCAGACCAGTTCAGTTCTAGACCAAGTACCCAAGCAAAAGGTAGGTCTCTGATCACGAGGACGCGTATAAAAACACTATGAAATCCGGTAGTACGAGACGCAAAATCCAAGTACGGTGAGAACAACAGTAATCAGAATCCAAATCAGGATGCGCGCAGTACCGCTCCAAAGGTCTACAGTATGTGCAAAAAGGGCACCTATCAAGAGATGTCGAGGCTCAACGGGACCGAATACTCATAGGCGACGGTCCGAAAGACCGCCGTCTGATATCCAATTCTTTATAAGCTCCTGTTCAGTCTGCCCGGCTAATACAACTCCGCGTTCGTGAGGATGAGAGATCGCAGAGCCTAATAACTGCACTCGGGGGTCAACTTTCTATAATGAAGAAAAAGAAGTCAAGGAGAAGTGGGAGCAAATTTATCGTGCCTGTTTATATACATCTGGATGGGGCTAGCGCACAGACCAACAGGACTCAATGACTTAGCGTAGGTACATGGTGGCGCTGTGTGGCTCGAGAATAAAGACTGTGGCTCA